AGAGAGAGAGAGAGAGAGAGAGAGAGAGAGAGAGACAAAGACTGGGAGGGGGTGTGCCTGGTATAAACTTTTGAAACCTCAGAGCCCACCCCACTGATACATTTCCTTCAATAAAACCACAAATCCTAATTCTTCTTATCCTTTTAAACAGTTCCACTCCCTGGAACTAAGCGAACTAAGCATCCAAATATATGAGCCTGTGGGGTCCATTCTTGTCTAAACCATCACAGCTCCTTCTACTTGGTGGACTCTGAAGTCTTAGGAATCTAACTGAAGCTTTATTGATCTTTTCAGTCTCAGTTGCCTCTTCTGGAATTAGCACGTGGCATGTAGGAAAATACATGGGTTCAGTCCTTGGCATAGCTTCCAGCACTGGTCCCTACAAAAATTCCAGCTTTTCTATTATTTCTATTTCTATTATTTCTCAGTGAGAGAATCAGCCTCTACTATCTACCTCCAATATTAGCAGATGCGAAAATCTCCTTAAAAATGGATGCGTAGTCAGATGTGGTGGTATATGCCTGTAATCCCAGCACTCAGGAGGCTAACACAGGAGGATCATAAATTTGAGGATGGCTTAGGCCACATAAAAAAGAATTTACAAACATCTATACTTGATCATATGAATGCCATTTAATTCCCCCGAGAGTGCAATGAGATGTTTTCAGCTGCAAGCAGCATTATCTTCAATAAATTATCACTCACACTAGAGGCTTGTTTATTTCACACGACAGAAAGGCAGGTGGCACCATAGTGCTGTGGTTGGTAAATTCAGCAACCCACTGATGTCTTCAGGGGCTCAGTTATTCTGTAATTTGTGTTCACCATTATCAATGTGTAGGTGATTATTTTGTTTCACGGAACAAATTCATTGCTGAAACTCTCTACTACTTGTCTATTTCTGAGAAAGAAAGCATCTCAAAGTTTAGTACTTCAAAACAATAAATATTGGCCGGGCGATGGTGGCGCACGCCTTTAATCCCAGCACTTGGGAGGCAGAGGCAGGTGGATCTCTGTGAGTTCGAGACCAGCCTGGTCTACAGAGCTAGTTCCAGGACAGGCTCCAAAGCCACAGAGAAACCCTGTCTCAAAAAACAAAACAAAACAAAAAAACAAACAAATAACAAAAAAAATAAATATTGCCTCATACTTTCTATGAGTCAGAAATTTGACAACAGCTAAATTTGTTTTAGTTTGAAGCTCCTCCTGAGATTGCAATTACATGCTGGCCTTGGTGACACACATCTGAAAACTTGACTTGGGGGATCACATCTGAAAGCTGGCCTTGGGGGCACCAGAGTCCCTTTCCAAGCTAGCTCCCTTATAGAACTGCAGGCAGCAGGACTCAGTTCTATGCTGGTAGTTTAAAGGTGCTCTGAGAGACTCACCATCTTGGCTACCCCATAAAACTATTTAAATGTCCCCAATACATGGAAGCTGCTTTCCTCAGAATGAAAGATCAGAGAGGGAGAGGAGGGAAAGGGGAGAAGTGGGGGAGGAAAAGAGAGAGAGAGATTTATGGCCTAGTGTAGAAGTCATCCATAGTTACTTCCTAACGTTCTATTAATTAGCAACACGTCAATATATGTACAGGCCTGGCTTTGCTTCACTGTTCTCTGTTGTTTCTCAGCACAGCAGGCTTTCCTTTTATCTCATTGACCTAAGTTGGGTCACTGCCCATTC